CCTTTCCTTTCTTTTCCTTTCCTTCCTTCCCCGCAGCTCAAAAGAGCAAAGGAAGGCATGTCTACAATATTCCAAAATCCCATTCAAGGCGTCACCTTCAGATAAGCCCCTGCCCTGCCCCAGTCAGGACCAACCCCCCCCCCCCGGGCGGGAGTGGGGGGGGGAGCAGCCCCGCCCGGCTGGCCCAGGGGAGCCACTCACATGAGGTTGCTGAGGGAGACCGGGATCTGCTGCACCTGCTGCAGCTGTTGTGGCTGCGGCTGCCAGGCGGAGAGGCTGCCCAGAGACAGGTTGGTGGGCGAGCTGAACGCCGGGAGGGAGGACAGCTCCGCACTGCTCAGCTGGTAGTCTGAAAGGAAGCAGAGAGGTCAGGCCAAGCGCTCCCACGCCCAGGCTGCCTCACGCCCAGGCTGCACCGCTCGGCCGCTGCAAGATGCTGCTATAAGGAGCCGCCCTTGAAGGCTACCCAGGGAGTCCAACTGGCCCAGGACGGATGGCACCCCTTGCCTTCCTGGCACAGCAGGGCCTGCCTACTTACAGGACCCCTGCCTCCCGTCGTATCTGCCCGCTGGTTCAGCCTGGCCAGGTTGGCATATGCTCCCTCCAATGAAACGGTGCCATCTGTGGGGACCCTGGAGGTCCGTTTCTCTGCCACAGGCCCTGCCTGGCTTCAGGGGGGGTTTTATCCAGGGCCCTTTGGGGGGGGGGGGAGGAGGGGGCACCTGTGCTTCGCTCCTATCCAATCGATCCGTTTAATTTTTTAAAACGGGAATTCCTGAACGTCCCTCGTTTTAAGCTGCCCAGGATCCCTGGGAATCTGGTAGCACAACGAATTGGACCAATGAAGTGAAAGAAGGGATAAGAGGGAAGAGTCCGGCTCCAGCCGTGGATGGAGCCACTTCATCGGCAGGAGGCCCCCAAGGGGATAGTCCTCACTGTGTGGCCATCTTGGGCTGGCTGGGCAATTCTGGGAGTTGAAAGCCAAAGCTTAGAGTTGTTCCAAGGTTGCCAAACCCGTCTCTAGATCATTTCCCAAATGACGGGCCGCTAGATGGCGCCCTCGGACCCCTCTTGGCTGCCCTCGCCACCATCCCTGCCCCCCCCCCCCCCACAAGCAGAGCGCCTGGGCCTGGGCTGGGCTGCTCCACCTGATCGAGGTCAGCCGCCAGTTCCTTCCCGTCTGGCAGCTCCCCCACCAAAGGCGTTGTTCCGATTCCCAGCCGCCAACGGCTCAGCCCAGGGGAGCCAGGGGTGCCCCCTTTCTCGGCCGAGGGAGCCAGCCTGGTCTGTGGGCCTGTGGCCAGCATGCAACGCTGCTCCCTCCCCACCTGCTTGTCTTTAACCACTGAGCCGCCATCACGCCCAGCCCTGGATCTTATTTTTTTTTTTTTTGAATTTTTTTAAAACTGTTTTTAGACTTGTAAGCCGCACAGATTATTTGACCCTTGGAGATGAGATGAGAGGCTATAGAATTTGAATGGGGTGATTAACTGGATGAATGAATGATAATCAATCAATACAATTTCTTAGACTTCCTATCCCGTAGCTATAAGCCTAGCGCTGTCTTTAGAGCATCTCTGGAGGTTGGCAGGACAAGCCGGCCGCTTCTTAGGGACAAACCACATTTGGGCCAATAATATTTCTTGAAATCAGGAAACAGAAAAGGCCGGGAGCTTCACTGAGAAGGGAGACGACGTGAAAGAGGGTGGATTGGCTTCCCTCCCGAAGCTGTGCGGGCTCCATCCCTGGAGGTTTTCCAAGAAAGGACTGGCAGCCTTTTGCCCAGGAGGGCACTGGGCACATGGGGTTGGACTAGGTGACCTCCAAGGTCCCTTAGGTGCTACTATGTATCGCAGAGGCAGCTGGAGCTCCTGCCCCGAGCAGCAAAGAGGAGCCAAATCGACACAGAGGATCCCAGGGAGAGGAAACTGGCTGGTTTGCTTCCCTGCCTCCTCAGGGCGAAAGGAAACGCGAAAGAGGGACTGAGCCGCCGCCGCTCCTCTTTTCGGCACGAAATGGAGAATATATTTCCCCCCAGCCACCACCAATTGAGGAAAGGGAAAGGAGGAAGTTTGGGCCTGTTTTTCTGCATAACTCATTCTTTTTTCACTATCTATTCCACACCCGGCAGGCTCTGGGGTGGGAAGACTGAGCTGCGGACCTGTCACCGCTTGACATGAATGTCGACGCCTGAAGTTTCTCTCCACCACCTTGAAACTCCCGGGTGGGGGCGGCAGCAGCCTCCTGTCTTGATGGGGCTCCCCCCCCCCCCCAGGAGAGAGGAAGGGTCCCAGCCAAGGGGTGAAGGACCTGAGGAGCCACATTGCTTGAAGAAGAAACCCCCCTCCAGGCAGGTTGGTGGCGGCTTCTCGGGGTGGAATCTGCTAATCCGAGGCCCTCAGAATACTTGGGGGCCTCTTGGCTGGGATGTCCTGCCCCTCCCCTTCTCTTTGGGGGAGTCTGTAGTTTCTGAAACACACACACACACACCCACACTCCCGCCCCCCCCCCCCACAGTCAAGGCTGAGCCAAGAATCCCCTGCTAGGTTCCCTTCCCAGCAGTGCAGCCAAAGGCAGCCGGAGGGCAGAGTTGTAGCTTGGGGGCTTCTCCCTTCCAGACACCGCCGTCCCTTAAGAGGCAGAGGAGGAGGAGGAGACCCTCCCCCTCCCAAACAGGAGCCGCTGGCCTACTTGGCAAGGCTCCTTCCCAGCCCCTGGGGGAGGGGGGCACCTGGAAGGAGGAGGAATGGCGCTGCTGTGTGAAGCCCTGCCAAGGGGCCCAGCAGGGCCAGAGGGAGCAGGAGGATGGTCACCCTCAGAGGGTCGTAAGTGCAGACTGACCCCTGACTGACACAAGTGAAGCCACGGGTCCCTGGCCAGCTGCAGAGCTTTCCCTTCGCCCCCCAACCCTCAGGCAGACCCTCCTTCCCTGCTGCGCTGGGCTTGCCTGTAGCCTCCCCCGAAAGGCCCAGCCCCTCAAAGCCCCCTCCCAGGATGGAGGAGGGGGGGGGGCAAAACTGCAGGTTGTTAAAAGTGGCCTTGCTTATTAAGCCCCCCCCCCCGTTTCCCCTCCTGAATAAAACGCCCCCCTCCTTCCCCTGAGGTCCCTTCGTAACTGGACGCCCTTGGCTTTTTCCTTGGAGACCTTTCGCTCCTCGTCCAAGAAGCTTCTTCAGAACTGAGGAGAAGCGAAACACCTTCAGGGGAAAAACGAAGCCCCTTTGGGGCAACCGTGGCCCGGATGGCTGAGGAGGGGTCCCCGGGGGTCCCTTCGCCACCTTATGGCTGCTATGGTCCTCCAACTACCATTTCCCGCTCCCAGAGCAGTCAGGCCTGCTTGTCAGAAAGGGGGCCGGCTGGCCAACCCCTGCTTGGAGGGGGGGGGGGTCTCTGTTCCTAGAGAACTTGGGCCTCCCCCTCCTCTTCCTCCTCCTCCCTCAACTCCGGCAGGGGCCTCACCTGTGTTGTATGCCGTGGGCATCGCTGAGAAGGGCAGCCCCTGGGTCAGCAGGCTGGGCGTGGCCACTGAAACGACCGGCGTGGTCAAAGAATGCGTGGCTTGAGACACCAGGAGTCTTTGTGTGTTCTGCTGAGGGAGAGAGAGAAAGAGAGAAGGAATGAGGCAGGGAATCTGAAAGAGGAGGAGGAGGCGGGGGGAGGGGAGGGGGCTCTCCGGCGTTTGGCCCCCTGGGGAAGGCGGCCGTCCTCTGCATCGGAGCCTCACGCCACGGACAGCCGGGAGAGCCAGGGGCCCCCACGGCCGCTAGATGCGTTTCCTCCCAATGTGCCTCCTGAGGTCAGAGGTCTCTCCCCCCCCACCCCGCAATGCTCCCCCCCTCCAGCAGGACCCGGTGCCACCCAGGGACGGCCTTGTTCGGCCGGCCCCATGAGAGCAGCCGCCCCTCGGCTGCAGCTGGGAACCCTGTGGATTGTGTCCTCTCTAGTGCAAAGACCCCCACAGCCCCCCGGGGGTCGCCTTGAACCGCTCCACCCTTTCCTGCCACGGAGGCTCCGTGGCTCACCAGGGCCACACGGGGCTCAGGTTGGTGAGGCAAAACGCGCCTTTCCCAGCTTGACCGAGGCCCCAACCCTGCCAACCTCAAAGCTCCCTTGTCTTTTCTGGAGACGGAAAAGAAGGGGG